TGTGGGGTTCGTCAGGTAGGCCTGAGAACATCACAAGCAAGAGATTCAGCTGGGTTCCAGGGGAGTCGAAAGAAAAAGCTTGACTACTAGTTCCATTGCACTGAAAAACGGCGTCAGAAAGGGTAGGTGACATGAAGCAAGGTCGTAAAACGAACTCTAGGCTGGGTTCCAGGGGAGTCTCTCGAAAAAGCTTGACTACTAGTTCCATTGCACTGAAAAACGGCGTCAGAAAGGGTAGGTGACATGAAGCAAGGTCGTAAAACAAAGGAACTCTAGGTTTTCTAGATACCGAAAAGGAAAAATTTGACAGTTTGCATCCACATCACCCAAATATGAACGATTCCGTGCGGAGGTTTGAACTCCGAATATCTGATATGCGAGGCCAGCGTGTTACCATTAGTTCACGAACGCAGGCTGGAGCTAGTAAGTTTATATGGGCTATGCGATAGGAATTCAATATTCCTGATAGAACTCCAGACGGATAGAATTCACGTGGGTGGATGTCGAGTTGATCAAGTTGTTTTGTCACGCCCGTCCACCACTTACTAGGGTCCAGGGCGCGTCAAAAATCTGACTAAATGAGCAGTGAAGTATCATTTGCTCCGGTTGTTTGATCAGAAATCCATAGGTTAAGATTTTAGGCAATCACCATCCGAGATTACGGACCAGCGTTTAGTTCTACGTGTGTCTAGTTTACTCGAGATTGGGATTAAGGGAAGTTCAGGGAGCATAGAATATGCTAAACGCCAAGCGTCACAAGTTTCTGTCATTCTCACAAGAAGTTTGATACTTTCAATCAAATATGCCCTAGTTAATGTGGTAATCATAAACAAAAGTCTCGCGATCTTACCCTACTCATCTGATGGTTCATCAGCGAACCATACCGATTCATCAGGGTAGCAGTAAGCAGGAAAGTGTAGGATAGGATGGAAAGCAACAAGGTTTCGGAACGGCTTATGAGGAGTGGCAACTGTGAGAGCAAGTTTCCGCGCAGAGTCTCCTTCCTATGTTGCAGTTCCGCGCGACGCTCCGCCAAGACAGTCGTGGGCTGGATTTGGGAAAGTAGAGGAAATGCAAAAATAGCTTTATTCTTTGATTTTGAGTATTCTGTATTAGGCGACGATTGATTACAACTCAGCAATCAGGCAAGCACAGGATAAGACATCGTAGAGGAATTAAAACACCATTCTTGTAATGTACTACTAATAAGGTTGCTGAAAATCCATCGACAGCCCACGACCGGTTTCGCCCTTCTTGGGGCTCATCAGGTAGGCGCAGTTCCCGGGTTTCCGTCAACCTTATGTTCTACTTGAAACCAAATTGCACGAAATTAGCGAACATACACTCATTTGCAAACTACTTTGGTTCTTTCGAGAGAATCACCTGGAACCCAGCTGAATCTCCCGTTTATGATGTTCTCGGGCAACTGAATGTGCTGCACCAGGCCGCCTCATGTTTCAGTTGTTACGATATTTGAAATATCGAGATACATGTATATATTTGTAATGTGCTACTCATAAGGTTGCTGAACATCCATCGACAGCCCACGACCGGTTTCACCCTTCTTGGGGCTCATCAGGTAGGCGCAGTCCCTGGGTTTCCGTCAACCTTATGTTCTACCTGAAACCAAATTGCACGAAATTAGCGAATATATACTCACCTGAGAACATCATAAACGAGAGATTCAGCTGGGTTCCAGGTGAGTCTCTCGAAAGAACCAAATTAGTTTGCAGATGAGTTTATATTCGCTAAAAACACCATTCTATCCGGAAAGTAAAACTGTTATCCTAGTCTTTAGTGGACACGACTGCTGAAAACTAGAGGCTTCCGACACCTGGGAAACGTTGTCATTAGGTAAAATCATTCTTTGCTGAATCCGTGGATTTTTCATGAAACAAGCCGAAAGCTTGTGGATTAAATAACCGAAGTTTGCATCCACTTACTCATTTGATTTTAGAAGAGGACGCATCCCTAATTAAACAAGGAATGCTAATGAAGTGAAACCGCGTCAAAATACACGACACACTCAATGTAGGTGGTCACAATTAAGGCTCGGAACTTTTATAAGGTATGTGAGACAGGCTTCATTAGACGCTTCCCAGACTAAAGTATCATGTCATTTGAGTGTCATATGCGATGAGTCCTAACGAGCCAAGGGGAGTGCACATGTTGGAAAAAGTCACATATGTGTTTCTTTATGTTGTATCGTGGGTGGCCGTCTTTTGGTTACGCCTGCACTGAGCCTGCCAGACTACGCGATAGGGAGAAGGCAGAGAACACGGGACACGACTGTATTGTCAGGAAAAAAACATACAGAGCTTCTGCGTAAATATATAAGATGACTAAATGGCCAAATATGGTCGTTCACTTGCTCGTTCTGTACAGCCAATGGCGGTGTTCCGGTCGTGAACAATTTCAGCCCCACTCCACTGGCCTAAGCCGTGTTTCGTGAGCTCCGCCAACGCACTTGCTTTCCAAACGTGTCGTATCGATGGTGACCTAGGCGGTGCATCACTTTGCACAAGTACTTTTTCCACGTCCTGACAGTTTATATCACTGTTTATGCATACTCTTGAAAGCACAAGCGAGACGAAGCTCGGGGAGAATAAACCCCGGGGTATCCGGGAGGTTAAAAGATTGACGAAATGCGCGTTGATGAGCACAGTTTATGGACAGTTTTTAAAACAGCCCAATAATGCATACCCAATTATATGGGTTTGCGGCAGTACTGCTAGCTGATGGACACAATTTCACCTGACCGAATGATTCACAGGTCATATAACAGAAGGGCAAATGTGAGAATAAAATGGAGTTCGAACCCGTTTAACAACCATTTTGTAGTGAACTGACATAAAATGTCACTGATTGGCGCCAATAGAGCCATTGCCAACTGCACAGCTTACTTGACCCAAAGCCCTAGGCCTGAAAGAAACCTATTATGGCTATTGAATCTAACTTGACTTTAAGATAATTTCCCCATTCATTTGTTTACTTCGCCTATGTACTTTTGATCTCCAGTTGTTTTGCTTATTCTTACCCGCCACTCACCTTGCCGGAAAGGCCGTTCCTTCTGACACCTGTTTATTGACATGTGTGTCTGTGTGTGAATGCGCGCTGCTGACCTACTTACCCATGTGCGTTCATGTCCCGTTTGCTGAGCCTGCCTTGACTTGTTTTCTCATGAGTTCCGTGTGATCGCACTTCCAATGAGAATCACGAGACCGTCATCTGGAGGGATGGCCGCAACCCACGCTACTGAGCCATCGTTCCACTCGTTGACACTGCATTGTGCCGGTCAGTGACAGACCTGTGAACCTTTTGACGCTACGAACGTGAACAATTGAGTACCGTGGAAGTACGAACCCAATTCTTCCGTTTGATATTCGGGATTGTCGAACCTACGCGTCACTCAAAGTTCCGGGAACCTCAACAATGGCCTGCCTGCAGTTTTGTTGCGAACACTTCTCTGGCAAATGACTCTGCAACTTAGTGACTTTTACACCCGTCTTCTTCATTTTTTTCTGACATACACTTGTGAATTCATTTGACTCTGCGGTTGAATTAATTGAGTCGATTTTCACCGCATTTTGGGATCCATTACGAAAAGGTCTAACCACGGAGAGCAAGCTCCATTTGCTGCCCCGGTTGGTATTACTAATCTACTGAGATGGTGGGGAATATTTTCGATGCCACAGATCTTATACATGCATTGCACCCGTTTCGTGTCCTTCCTTTGTCACACGCTCGTAGTTCTATGTCTGTACTGCAGAGCATGTTATGGGGGCGAGGCGACTCAGTTGTTTGAGTGCGAATTTACTGATCAGAAGGTCCGTGGGTTCAACCCGACTTCGGTCTCTCGACTTTCCCGGTCTAGGCTTGGGCAACCTGGCAGTATTCCATCCCTCATGCTTCCTTCTGGTGGCAAGGAAGTTAGGCACCGAAATGGTGATACATTTGAGCGAACGAGGCAAGGCACGTTCTTATTTTTGCAAGCGACGTCATACATTACCGTCTTATAGCCTGATGTCTTACATAATAGTCATAGTTCAACAGGAATTCAGAACTGAATCAGGTAAACTTGACTTTAAGATAATTCCCCCATTCATTTGTTTACTTCGCCTATGTACTTGTGATCTCTGTTTGTTTTGCTTATTCTTACCCGCCACTCACCTTGCCGGAAAGGCCGTTCCTTCTGACACCTGTTTATTGACATGTGTGTCTGTGTGTGAATGCGCGCTGCTGACCTACTTACCCATGTGCGTTCATGTCCCGTTTGCTGAGCCTGCCTTGACTTGTTTTCTCATGAGTTCCGTGTGATCGCACTTCCAATGAGAATCACGAGACCGTCATCTGGAGGGATGGCCGCAACCCACGCTACTGAGCCATCGTTCCACTCGTTGACACTGCATTGTGCCGGTCAGTGACAGACCTGTGAACCTTTTGACGCTACGAACGTGAACAATTGAGTACCGTGGAAGTACGAACCCAATTCTTCCGTTTGATATTCGGGATTGTCGAACCTACGCGTCACTCAAAGTTCCGGGAACCTCAACAATGGCCTGCCTGCAGTTTTGTTGCGAACACTTCTCTGGCAAATGACTCTGCAACTTAGTGACTTTTACACCCGCCTCCAAAAATTTATTCTGACATAGACTTGTGAATTCATTTGACTCTGCGGTTGAATTAATTGAGTCGATTTTCACCGCATTTTGGGATCCATTACGAAAAGGTCTAACCACGGAGAGCAAGCTCCATTTGCTGCCCCGGTTGGTATTACTAATCTACTGAGATGGTGGGGAATATTTTCGATGCCACAGATCTTATACATGCATTGCACCCGTTTCGTGTCCTTCCTTTGTCACACGCTCGTAGTTCTATGTCTGTACTGCAGAGCATGTTATGGGGGCGAGGCGACTCAGTTGTTTGAGTGCGAATTTACTGATCAGAAGGTCCGTGGGTTCAACCCGACTTCGGTCTCTCGACTTTCCCGGTCTAGGCTTGGGCAACCTGGCAGTATTCCATCCCTCATGCTTCCTTCTGGTGGCAAGGAAGTTAGGCACCGAAATGGTGATACATTTGAGCGAACGAGGCAAGGCACGTTCTTATTTTTGCAAGCGACGTCATACATTACCGTCTTATAGCCTGATGTCTTACATAATAGTCATAGTTCAACAGGAATTCAGAACTGAATCAGGTAAACTCTAGCTTGTCTGATGCAGTTGTGAGTGATCTGTCAAGGCTTACTTGGTTTTTCGACGTCGCCTGGAGAAGCAGTGATTCTGCATGGGCACATTCTTTCTCAGTCTTCTCAAGTTGTTCAAGCAACAAATTTGGATCGTAAAGCATTTCAGATAGTTCTTGTAGGCGGCTAATGACTTTATCCTGAAGTTTTGGACGCTTTGAGGTGAAAAAGAGAGCAATAAGAATGACGCCATGAGCAAAAAATGTCAGGATTGACGGGATGATAAACTCGAAATAAACAATAATAAGAAATAAAAAATAAGAGCAGACAGTCGTTATCGACTCACAAGCCTTAGGCTTTGAGTAAAACGCAGCAAGTTAACATGGCAGCGAACTGCTGGCTGATTTTCGGGTTCCAAGCGTATACTCAGCATCAAAGATTCGCAAAAAATGACATCATTTATGTGCACTTTAATGGAGTTGTTGGTTTTGCCCGGTTAAACTCATGCGTACAAAACCTAAGAATGGAACTCCTTGTGAATAGTCAGAAATCTTACAAGAAGCTTCTCCTTCAGTGTAAAGTTTCACGCGGCATGTGACCCTGATCTAGTTAGTTTTCTTGCTTAGATCATGTCTAACCCCCTGCAGATTGCATGGCAGCTGTGTTCACAAAACGCCAAAGTGGCATCAAAAACGAAACATCATTATTATGAGCTGATTCATACGGGCCTCATTGGATGAATCCTGTGTTTTAATGAAGCCAGTTGATGATGAATGCTCAGAAGGTTAGTGGTTTTCAGTTTCTAGCATTGTCTTACTTCACTTGCAACATGAAAACTGTGCTGAAATCTTTGAATTTCCCCAAATTTCCTCAACCCCCTTGTGACACAACCAGCCAATTTCTGCGCTTGGAGGAATTGTGCCCAGATATTGATCGTCAGCGTGGTGTGAAGAGCAATGCTTAACCACCTAGGTGTGTGTCAGTTCACCCAAGATGTATTTGTCATTTAAAAGCATTCGTTTCGGACTGTGTTTGTTCTAGCGAGAGTGTTTTCCCGAAATTGTGGTCTAAATGTATGGAATAATCACTAGCCTATTGGAGTTTATCAGGTTCTCAACGAGAGATGATGGTTATCAAGCAAGAATTCCTTGGTGGTGCTGGTGGTTGTGGCAGTATGCTCAAGTTTTGGTCAGGAATCCGTGCCTGCGAAAAACCAAGCTCTGCCGTTTCAATTAAGCGGAATGTCTTATTGATTCAAACGAAGGGAGCGAAGATCCTGGTCTCATTACTTTTTCAGTAATGATGAGGGGCAGTTGACTGGGACAACAGGTGACGTTAAACGATCAGTGTATTAGCCTCGCTACTTACAGTCACGTGCTCCATATATTCTAGGGCGGAATCCATGATCGATATGTGAGCTGTTATGCTGTCAATGGCAATCGGACAGGAACTAGGACAGATTCCAATGCGATGATGGAGCGTTACTTGTCCATCCAGTCCGGAGACATTAGAAAAGCTTTCCAGAAATTGTCTTTCGCTGGCAAACGATTCCTTTATGAAAGAACAGAAAATATGGAAAGGCTTAATTATATTAGAAATGACAAGAGAATGCACAAAACTAATTGTGGGAGCGAGAGATTCAGCTGGGTTCCAGGTGTCTCTTGAAAAACCAAATTAGTTTGCAAATGAGTGTATATTCTCTAATTTCGTGCAATTTGGTTTCAAGTAGAACATAAGGTTGACGGAAACTTGGGGACTGCGCCTATCTGATGAGCCTCAAAAAGGGCGAAACTGGTCGCGGGCTGTCGAGAAGTTTTCAGCAAACTTATGAGTAGTGCATTACAAAGATATAATTGTGAGAGCGTTTGAACAAAAAGCCTATATTCTTCATTCACAATAATCAAAAATAGGGACCTAGCTTAATCAGAATTATAGGTTCTTTAAAGCCTCAATAACGTCAGACAATGAGCTTAATACCAACCCTGCCATTTGCATTTCTTTAAGAAGCTTATACGTTTGTAAAGCATGTCTCCAAAAGACCATAGTGCAATGAGGACGCCTACTGGGACAGGCGGTTTCCTCAGTTTTCGATCAGGTGGCGTCGATTTTGTTCGAACAGGTTGCCAACGTCCGTCACCAATCGGAGTGACACGATCAGCGCGCGATTGGGTGGGTTATGCCTCTTTAGTTCCTTGAGTTTGTGTGGCTTTTAAAGGTCAACCAGTCAGAACAAATGATAAGTTCTCAAACAGAAGGTGCCAAACGCATCAGTCGATTGAAAGGGTTAGAGAATCAAGGGAAACATAATTCAAAACGGACCAATTGGGTTCTGAGAACGTAATGTGTCTCAGTTGGCCAATCACAACCATGGCTACCAACTAATCTTTTTCTGCTAAAATTAAATCATCCCAAGTTGTTTTCCTTGAAAAATCCTGCTTGAAACGGACGCACACACGGGAAATTTTCGTGAGCTCAAAAGTAATGTTCGTGAATTATTAAAAATCACACAACTAAAGCAGATACCACGGTAAATGGCTGCTACACGATACTGTCAACGTAAAATGGTTTCTTCATGAAACCACACAAGCCCCGATGACAGACAAACCTCGGCTATAATTGGACCGTTCGGATCACAAAGTTACAAATATCGCAAGGAAGACAAGCCCAGGCTTTGGAGAGTTGGGTGCGCACAGATCAAACAGGCCTGGTGGGTTCCAAAAACTTACACATAAATAAGCATTTAACAGAGTCGTGGCATGGAAGGCACAAAAATATGGGGAGTGTGACGCGCCTCAACAAAAGATGATGCAATTAACTTGGCTGCCCCCATCACTGTCACCTCACTCCGCCCTCCTGCAAGACCTGAAGTCATGTGGCTCTTGTATTTTCTCTACATTTGGGAATATTGGGATTGTGTGAACTTTCCTGTCAAAAATCGTGCTAGCTGATCAAACAAGAGTTTGTTTGGCTTTCGCATCCCACGAGGTTCCACACTAATCACCTATGTCTTAGCATATTGTAGGACAGTGCTCTCTTTAAAGGCCAACAAACTGTACGTGGAGGACTGTAACACAAAACGGATATCGAATCATTGATCAGATCACAAGACAGGGTCCTATCGCTATATAAACTGAAATCTGAAGGGAAAACACGTGATTTCTGAAAAAGCAAACCGAAAATGGCTGCCATCAGTTGAGAAAGGGTACTAATGTGATGTAGCACAGTGAATCCTTTAGGACTGCCTGTTTAGTCCCTTTAATATCGCAACAGCTTTCTGAACATTGTATTCTTTACGTTTAATATCGCAACAGCTTTATGACGCACAATACCGTGGATGTTGACAAGACTGAAAAAGTAATAGTCCTCATTATTCGATCGTTTCTAATTGTCCTCGTTATTTACCACAAAATTCATCATGGGCAAAACAGTGGGTTCCGTTTCCAAAATGCAGAAGTATACTGCCCAGGGCCTCATTGAACAACGAATGAAAAGAGGTTCGGGAAAAGATTACTTGTTTTGCCAGCGTTTATCGATTTTCACGAAACGCTTGTTCCCTCTGGAACGACACATCTGAAAACACTGATAGACTTGCCTGACACTAAACCCATCGGTGTTAAATCCTCGGGGAATTCACTGGAGCTAAAGAAAGACTAAAAATGCTGTGCCTCATTTGTTTGCCCGATATTACCAAAATATGTTGATGGTTGGGTATTAGTTAACAGTCTTCAAAATTTAGTTGCAAAATTCTATCATTCACGCTGTTTTTTCACGTTTCCACTAAAATTGCCTTTTCTCACCTTCGCAGCAATCCTTTCATCTTTGCATTCTAGCTGTATTAGCGCTACGTTTTTGGAAAAAAGCAGATTTTCCAAAGTGAGACTCTGTTTTGAAGTGCAAACTTTTTTGTCAATATTTGACTTGGTTAGCGAAAGCCTGGAATACGATCAAAGGAATTGTGGATGTCCCTAAGTGCCTAGACTTGAGCAACTGCATTGAAAATGCGGAATTTGAGGTTACGTTGCCTTGAAAATTTAGGTCACAGCAAGTCCAAGGCACTTGGGTGCGCTCAGACGCTTCACCTAAGCCGGTAAAATTGTGAGACTCGGAGAGTTCTAAACCCGGCAATACACACCCGGTGTATATACCACCTGATATTGTGCGAGTGTACTTGCCTGTGAACATATGGAACATCCGCTGAGAAATGCACATAGAAACCGTGGTCGCGGTAGCCTTAATTTTCCCATGAATGCATCAACCGGATAGTTGGGCTGTAAGGCCAGAATCACTTTGAAAAGGTTTTAGCAATTATATTTTGAGACTACGGGAGATGTGATGCAACCAGGTGCGTTTGGCACGTGATTTCCAAAGCATTACGCGGAGAACCAAGTTCCACAATCCTGTGTATTAGAAATAGGAAGTGTTCCAATTTGCTGCTGATTTTATATCCTGCTGTGAAATGATGTGGCGAGAGATAAGAGGTTTTCGCAATCAGGATTGTAAGGGTTTGTTTGAGGCATGTGTTAAACTCTCATCAGGACACGATCTACAGTTAGCTGTTAGTGAAGCAAAATGTTAGAGGTTGATATTAATTAAAGTGCTGGACCAAGTGTTGGTACAATCTCTTCACAAGACTTCAATCAGTTTCATACGTAAAACGCTTGTTCCGGCATACCATGCCCATTTTTTCGCCTCAAACTGCGGACGAACCTATGTGGAATTCCAGAAGCCATACAAATACCAGGAGAAAGGCGCGGGTCCGGTGAAATGTAGGATACGTCTTACAGTCAGAAATTTATCTAGCGGGCTCCAAAATCTAAAGAAAACTAGTAGCATGTTTTTCGACGGTGGAGGTCCTAAATTTGTTGAAATGAGTGCAGATCCTGAAAAGCAAGAGAGTGTTGAATGACGTAAAACTATCTTTAGCGTACTTAATGAAGAAAGTGTTTATTTGAGTATCGGTATCCAATGCTTATAAGACAATGCCGTGCAGAGTACAGGGAACGAAAGATCTCCTTCACAAGTCCAGATGCCAGAACTGCCAATAATATTTCCTAATATCAAGCAGGATTAGTCGGTGCACTGCGAACGCAAATAAGCATGTTCAGTGCAATCTTGATTCGAGCGACAGAAATGTGGGCACCACCTGGTGAAAAGCTGCAAAAACCTTATTGCTGCATTCAGCGTTTTTGTACGAAATATATAGGGGAATGGGTTAGCTACCACGTGACTGAGTGATATAAACGCTTAATATTTCCTAATATCAAGCAGGATTAGTCGGTGCACTGCGAACGCAAATAAGCATGTTCAGTGCAATCTTGATTCGAGCGACAGAAATGTGGGCACCACCTGTTGAAAAGTTGCAAAAACCTTATTGCTGCATTCAGCGTTTTTGTACGAAATATATAGGGGAATGGGTTAGCTACCACGTGACTGAGTGATATAAACGCTGACTGGAAAGCAGTAATTTGGAGTGTAAGTTGAGAAAAAAAACAAGTGCTACGCACAAATAACCAGGTGCGCAGTGGAAAGTACCGAGCTTTATCCAGACGTGAAAAGACGATAGCCTCAATTTGAACAACCACTGTGCCTTACATTTTAGCAAGAAGTCAACTTTGAAGGAAAGGAGTTACTTCCTCACAAATACTCCCCTCAATTGTTTGTTTTAGCTAGTGTCACCAGTGGCCTGTTACTGTGGAGAAATTTCTGCGCCTCAAGAACTTTGAACAGCTAGTGTTAAATGCTGTTTTACGACTAATATTTAGACCGAATTTCTTACCAACTTGCCCTACGATGGTGAAGCACCATATGCAACGGTGTCTAGGACGGTGAGAGGATTTCCTCGACAGTCGTTTGATTGATTGAAGCTATTCATGCAGTCGTGGTCCACAAATCTCCATCATTTGATTTACTTCCAAGCCTCAATTCTCCAGCATCCAGGAGTTCAACTCCGCTTTCCTACATCTTCCATGTACACAGTCAAGATGAGACCGACGCAAGTTCGGGGACCGCAACCAAGCGTTGAGCTCAAGCAGAGGTGCCTTCTTACTCGGATAAAAGTAGAGTTACATCCCCTTTACACCTCTTTGCTGAACTTTCCAAACTAAGATACGTTGGGTAGAATCACTCACCTGAATTAAGTCAAAGCGTCTAACTATCCACTTTCGAAGCATTTCCACTGACTCAAGCAGACCGTCGAGTCGCCATTTCTCATGGGCCAGTCTCGGATCTGACTGAAATCAGAGCAAAGTAGTAATCAATCAGAATGACGCCAAAAGAAGAAACATGGATGGTGGATCCCGGGAATTTTATGGCAGCTACGGAGCCTAGGTTCGCACAGAACAGTCAGTGTTTTTGTGTCATGTTTGTTGACGTTACTAATTGTGAGTCACTAACGTCAGCTGATCACAGTTACAATCAGTAGTATACGATATTAAATACACAAAAGAATGCGTTCATTTAGAGCTACCGTGCCTTTCGATATACCATAGTGGGCGGAGAAAGAAGCTAAGTGACCGATACAGAGTTGCGCTACCGTCCAGCCAGTTGCAACAGGAAGCAGACATGACGTTGGAAAAAATGTGACAAAACGAGAACATGTAATTAACTGCCTAGCCAGCCCTAGCAAATTTAGATTCCCCCCTCGAGGTTACTCGGCGTCAAGCTGTGAGGTATCTCAAAGACTTGCCTGATACGTTGTCTGAAATTGCGCCTATCTCCAACTCACATAGCATCATAAGAAAAGGGATATTTCAGAAGATTTGGGAATCCTTTATGCTCAGCAAGCCAATTGTTTTATACCCTAATGTCTTTATCATTAGAAAGCCAAAGTCCGTAGTTCTTTGTTCCGGTCTGTTGTGAAACTTTAGAGTCGTGGGAGAGACTGTACATAATGGAGTAAGGCCAGACTCTGACAAACACAGCGTGTTAGCAGGACCTACCGTGCGTCTGAGCATTGGGAAACAAGCTACAGAAATCTTGTCCCCTTTTATGGATAAAGTAAAAAGCGATTGTTTTAGTTTCGTTTGCTTACCAGGGAGTGGTTTTCTAAATCCAAAGGTATCAAGTCAAACCTGCCTTGAAGAGAAGACAGCCATCTATCCAATCTACGTTAGTGCTTTTACACTTTGAGACGCTTGTAACGGGATCAAACGAAACATCCTTTTTTCGTCAAAACCTGCCAATAAATCATGCTCAAAATGCGCATCCATAAACGCGAACAGAATTCCAAGAAATCAAGTGGACAAAAAATAAAATGTGCCCGAAATCAAATAGAAAATTAGGAAAATATGTTGAATTTTTTTTTTATTTTACTGCCTTCTTACTCGGATAAAAGTAGAGTTACATCCCCTTAGCACCTCTTTGCTGAAATTTCCAAACTAAGATACGTTGGGTAGAATCACTCACCTGAAGTAAGTCAAAGCGTCTAACTATCCACTTTCGGACCATTTCCACTGACTCAAGCAGACCGTCGAGTCGCCATTTCTCATGGGCCAGTCTCGGATCTGACTGAAATCAGAGCAAAGTAGTAATCAATCAGAATGACGCCAAAAGAAGAAACATGGATGGTGGATCCCGGGAATTTTATGGCAGCTACGGAGCCTAGGTTCGCACAGAATAGTCAGTGTTTTTGTGTCATGTTTGTTGACGTTACTAATTGTGAGTCACTAACGTCAGCTGATCACAGTTACAATCAGTAGTATACGATATTAAATACACAAAAGAATGCGTTCATTCCTAAAGCCCCCAATGAGGTTCCAGCCATAAACCAGCAAGTACTAAGTACACGTGAAATTCACCTTGATCTGAAATATTAACTACTCGCGCCTTGGTTACATTGTCCATGAAGACCGCGTGGGTGCCGCGTGCCCATCTGTGGTAAACGTACATCACCTACAGACAATGCATACAGCCTGAATAGGCAAAACAAATACACTGAAAATGAGGGAATCCCGCTTGACGTTGTGCAATAGTAGTTTAATATTTCTGTCGTGAGATCTGAAGCCATTATTGATCCACAATGATCAGGTTTTTAGGGGCTTACAAATGCTGGTTTGGGGTCAGACGCAATTTTCTCGAGGTCCCAGAGTTGCTACCTTTTCCTGGAGTCCTATCTTGGAGATCCAAATGGTCAACTATTTAAAGACATGAGATGTGGTTTGTTATTAAATGAGAAGTCCTAACGTATTTCGGCGTGGAACCCTTACGGTGTCTAGCCGTGGAAGATCCAACCTCGGATCTATTTCAGGTATCTGTAAAAACAGGTGCAATATTTTTGGCTTTGTGTTCGGCTGCTGTCGCACAGCGTTTAATCAACTCCTGCAAATACCTGTGAGCTGAATACTGTTCTTCCTCCGATGCGCCTTACATTCGTTTTTAATTGTTTAAAAAAAGCTTTCAGCCAACATTATAACATTATCATCTCAGAAAAGAAACGCACCGTACCGCGGCTTAAGTTTGCATTAAGCCAACTTGGGAATGAAGCTTATTTAAGTCCGAATCCAAGCGGTATACTGGAAGTCTGCTTCCGTGAATGATAGAATATATGGCAGGCCAATGCTCGTAAACTTGGAGTAGGTTTCATTTGGCTGACATCAGTCACTAGATTGTGTGACCTGGAACCCGTTACGATCAAAAGACATGACTCAATTAACGGAGCGTCTGATTTCACAATTGTTACAAGCTTACTGAGCGGATTGCTCACTAGTGAATAACTTTGAACGTTTGCAACTGTATTGGTCTGGGATGTGAGATTCCAGAAGTGAGAAGAAAAAGTTCCAAAGAGAGTTCTAGATGCTTGTCGAGACTGGAAATGCCAGTGTTAATTCCATGTAGACAATGCGTTGTCGGTGAAATGATGTTGTAGTGAAATGATGGTAAACAAAAAAGGAAAAACAAACAGAACATCAATTTAGCTGTGGTCTGCTTCTGATGTGGAGCTTTTATGTCACGAATATTCGTTGTCTAACTGGCTGACTGATGGGACAAAATCCAAGATGAAAAATCAAACAGTTAATCAACGGAGATTGAGCAGTAATCGCAGATGTTTCGATTCACGAATGCTTTTACTGGACACCTGGCGTCCCGACAGTGATGCGGTTACAATCGTGACTGGATGGTTTTCATTTCAGTGGTTAGCTGAAAAACTTCCCAGAGTAATTATTTAGGTAATTGCTGAAATCCCATTAATTTGAGTCACCGTTACTTACCGGCATTTTTCTACCAGTTTTGAAATGCTCAAAGATTCGTAAAGACTTGCTGTAACCTTTGAGCCGTTTACCTTTCCCGACCTCTTCAAATACCTCAGTACCTGTAGAATCGGTAAAAGTACATAGGGACGTGTAAGAAACAAGCATCTACGTAATAAAAGAACAAAGTGATTCAAAACAGTTGTGAACATCGTTCAACTGCAACACCATTTCGGTGCCAAGCTGCCGTGCCACCCGAAGGAAGAATGAGGTCTGGTATACTATCAAGTTGCCCTAGCCTAGACAGAAAAAATCGAAAGACAGAGGTCAGGTTCGAACCATGGACCTTCCGGTCAGTAAATGCGTGCTCTAACCACTAAGCCATCTTGCTACAAAAGGAATAAACATCGGGTTTAATTAGTCTAATTTTTCTGCCCAGCTGAACATTCCCTGCAAAGATGCGTCGGTCGCAAAAAGAAAAAAATCGCAAATAACGATTGAGGTAAAAACGAGCTGCATACTACGAGCAGACACCTTGATTTTTAGCTTACACTTATTTTGTCGAGGAAAGTAATAATCACTAGTGCAACGACCGTGCAAAAAATACGACTTTACCAGGAAAACTTTGGTTAAATTAGACCGTTTGCAAAAACAATATAGTTTTCAGATTTCTCACATCTTCTTAGTAAGCAACTCCTGACCTATGGAAAGAAATAAAAAATAACAAAGCCAGAAAATATCAACTTGATAAACTAGTCCAAGCTGTTTCGAAGTATGTTCTGTTATCCAGAGGTAGTGTTTAGAGGCTTGCCTCGGGGCAGATCAGCGGATACTATTGAACATGGACTTCATTAGACTGCACTGTACCTACTAACGACCTACTGCTCGGTTACATCTAGTGCGAATCTCTTATCCAGGCATTCGATTCAAATGGACTAATTTGGACCGTACGAATGATAGACCCTAGGTCACTAAAATATATCTGGCTTCCATACTTTGTGAACCTGTTAGTGCCGCTCTGATGAGTTACAAAAACACCAGCCAAAACAGTAGTATGCTTTGGGCTAGTTTGTCTCAAAGTCTAAGAAGTGTTCTGACACCATAATTTCTCCACTCTGACTTTTCCTCAGACTTTGAGACAAGCCATGAAATCGGGCTGGTTTATATCCATGTTAGCCGCAAATAGTCTATATGTTCTGCTTTCATACTCATTGCACATCGCACTGACTTGGGTTGAATGAGAGTCCTCGGTAGCGACTATGATAAAGCATATGGAACGAACTGACAAGAGTGAGTGTAATTCAGGTACACCGCAGTCCCACGAAGTAGCCGTATGGTAATTGCTTCAATTGTTGATTAGAGTTTTGATTGGTAGACCATAATTGGACATCGTTACTCTCATCAACAGCTTAATCGGCTATGATACACTGACGCTGCGATCTAATAAACAGTGAATACTAGCTTAATGGATGTCATGTTCAATGGCAAATTCAAGAGAGTATCCGGTGTCACCACGGCTTTCTTTAAATAGTGATCAGCTGTAATATGAAAGTCGCGTTGCTTCGATCTTGGCATTACGCTGGTACTAGGGTTGCTCGTAATGATGACGACCATGTATTCTGGTGTGGAAATTTATGCATCTCATAATACCTAGGGGGCTATTTCGCAGGAACTATGAATGAGGGCTTCAATTGGACGAAGACCTGCAGCCATAAAAACATTTTTGTTTCATAGGAAAACAAAATGACATTCAGTAGGGCGGATGGAGAGGACATACACAAGAAATATACATGAATGAGGTATATTATCTCACCGGAACTTGAAGGTCGGCTAAAACAATCGACCTGTAGGTGTAACTGTTGGTGTTTCACTTACAGAGGGGTTTTCGTAGATCTTCTAAAACACT